ACCCCTCTCCCTCTTGTTACTGCCTCCTCTCAGTAACTCCAGCTCTGGCAGTCAGCCCAAATTTTTAAAGCACCATAGAGCCGCCTGACTTGTGATCTGCTTCATAATCACCACTGTCACTGGAAGAGTTCCACATGTGATGGAACTAGTATCAGGCTTTGTTTTGACCCATATTAGTTATTTTTAAAAATCAAGCTTATGAGCTATACACAAAACAGTATAATGGGGAAAAAGGGTTCTTAAAGCAAAAGAGAAATCCTAACACTATATCCTGTATATCTGGGCTAATGGATGTCTGTTCAGGCATTTTTATCTCTTTTGGGTTGTAAACTCTTCAAAGGACTACACCCGCTCCTAATCCATGTATGGTTTAATAGCTCTTAGCTCTGACTGAGATACCTTGGTACAACTAGAATACAAATATCAATAATGCATTAAGTTGAAATATTTGAGCAGCCCTAATGGAGTTCTAGGACTGCAAGCCAGAGCATGTGGTACTTCAACCACTACTTTTAGTCACATTTCAAACTTTACCTTTTGTTACACTGATGCAAATGAGGGCAGTTTCTCAGTTCAGTGAGTATGTCAAAATGAAACAATGTTATCTCTGTATTTCATATAATAGCTGCACAATTGAAACTATATCAGCTTTTGTAGCTTTGAAAACCTTCCCTAACTTTAATAAGCAAAATACATTTTCAGTCAAAAAGGCACAAGCCATCTTATCAATGTTTATTAAAATGTTTTAAAAGGCCCTATCTATAGTAATTATTTTAGATATAGTAACTTGCAGGGCAGCAATATGGTTTATCTGGAGCTCTCACAGATGAGCCAATCCCGACAGAAATTGCATCATTCTGTCCTGTCATGCATTAAACATTGGTTTACTACACTCCAGAATAAACTGGGTTTGATACTTTTATTCCTAGCACAGGATCAATTATCACAGTGTTAATTTCCCTTCCATTAAGCAGCATGTTATCCATGGCACTATCACTGTACAGACTTACTGTACTTGCAGGACTTGAGCAAGTGTGGGCAGAATGGCTCAGCAGACCACGGCTTGGTTCCAACAATACTGGTTTCCTAATTGAACATACACCATTGGTCAGACTGCATCAAGGATGCAGGATAGTCCTTCAGGATACACCGCAAATCCACCAGTGGTCTCAGACTGCACGGTTTAATAACTAGCCCTCTGTACTAAAGGATCCAGTACCCAAGCAAATGAGGAGTCCTATCTCACCAGACGCTACCACCAGGCACAAATGTTCGAAACGTGGCCCAGCTGGTTTGTGCAAGGTGTATGCTGTTCCATGCTCAGCACCCCCAGAACACACCCCAGGATGTGCGCAGAAGCCCCCCTCTGTGACACAAATCATACCCACACACAACATGGGCACCAAACCACTCAGCCCCAGCTAGGTCTGGATACGAATGCTGGCGAGTGGAGACTGAATCGGGAGATACCCAGTACAGTCACGCACCAGCACAGTTCGGCTAAACATCAACCTCTGAACAAGCCCTCTTTTATTTACATCACAGTATTAAACTTCAGCACTTTGACCTACAAAATGTTATTTTAGTTCCCTCATCACTTGGATCTAGTCTGCTATTAAACTGAAGTTCTTCATTAGCATCAAATAGTAATTAGGAAATATCCTATATTCCAAATGTACCAAATTCTGTTATACTACTCTTTCACTCGTTCCACTACTAGCTACCTTCTACACAGTCTCATGAGTAATCCAGCATTATGTGATGGGACAGCTTCTGTGAAGTATCATTAAAAAATCTACATAATAAAACACCATATTTACTAATGAACTAGAGGATTCAGTATTGTAGACTGTCATTACCTGGATCATTTTCAACTCCAAGTCCTAAATCTTGTCATATATTTTTAAATATTATGATACTATGCTATTACCAGCACCTTGGATTAAAAGTAAAATGTCTAAAATATAACTTAGCCTTACTAGAGCTGTTTTGTTTGGTGATTGTGTGTTTTGTTTTTCGTTTTTTTTTCTACCTTTATACCTAGACTATGGAATTTGATGGATTGATTTCATTCTGTTTCCAGGCAGTTTCACTCATCCTTTCCATAACTCAAATGACATCACGTATCAGATGAAAAGACTGAAGGAACATTTTTATTACCAAATTTACTGGATAATGTAATATTTGTCTGGACTTTTCCAGAGCTAAAATGAACAAATAAAGACAGTATTCCCTTTTTTTTATATAAAATTCCCTCAGCCCTGTCCCCTTTCCCCCCCAACGAATCTTAAACAGACCTGACAGGTCTATGTATTTTTTAAGAGAATTTAACAGAATAGGAATTGCTGAACAGTATATGATTAGGTTAGAAGACCATTTAGAAAATTATTCTACCACTGAGTTTACATTGATCTATAATCTGAGTGAGCATAAACAAACTTTTGGAAACAACACTACATCACATAAACAAGCTAGATTTCTCACAGAATCACGGAATGATTTGTGTTGGGAGGAACCTTACAGATAATCTAGTTCAAATCCCAGTGCCATGGGCAGGGACACCTGCCACTAGATCAGATTGCTCAAAGTCCCATCCAACCTGGCCTTGAGCACATCTAGGGATGAGGCATCCATGACTTCTCTGGGCAAGCTGTTCCAGTGTCTCACCACTCTCATATTAAAGAATTTCTTCCTTACATCTAACCTAAACTTACCCTCTTTCAGTTTGAAACCATGATCCCTCATCCTATCACTATACTCCCTTATAAAATGTCCCTCCTCACCCTTCCTGCAGCCCCCTTTAAGATAAGGTCTCCCTGAAGCCTTCTCTTCTCCAGGCTGAACAATCCCAACTGTCCCGGCCTGTCTTCATAGAACAGGTCCTC